GGCAACAAGGCACACTCTTTTCCTGTATATTTTCGGCCACAGAATAATTTTCACTATTTTAAGTGAAGAGGACAATTCTAGGTATCAACTGGAAAAATCTCCTGGGAAAGGCGTTGTGTGAAGGAAGGGGGAAAGGAGTAGGGGAAGGAGCGTGGGAAGTGCTATCCACGTACCTAACGTATTTTGTGACTAAAGACCCAGTTCATAGACTTCGGTGAAAGGATCTATAAAATGTCCCATTCCGAGTGGAGTGCGCAAGCGGTCGCGACGCGCATTCTCCAAGTGCTGTTTTACCTACGAATTGTTCTATCCTTTTGTTTTCCAAGCGATACTCTTTTCAGAAAGACCAAACGCTGTACTACTTTGTCGAGCTGAAGAGTATATTCAGACCAAACCCTGGAGACAAATGGATCACCGATGAAGGAGTTCACATAATCGTGGGTAGCGCTTTTAGACGATTTCCAGGTTTCTGCCTTTCAAATAAACGTTGACTTTTTCTCGAACACAATCGCTTCTTAGGTAACCCACGAGATCCCAGAGGAGGATTGTATCAGAGCTGAAGATGGAGACACCATCCATCAGCACTACACCCTTCATCTCGAAGACGGTAGTTTTGTCGATTCAAGCTGGAGCCGGAACAAGCCATTCGTTTTCAAGCATCATCAAAACCAGGTAAGTGTACCCAAGGTACATTCGAAAAATCGCATTTGGTGTCTCTTTGTAAATGGGCAGTCCAACAGTGCAGGCCATGTCGGATCCTCTGCAGGCACGGATCTTGAGTAACTCCGTCGTCCGTTCCCGCCAGGTGCAGTATTGGCTTGACCTGGGGTAATCCAGCCCTCAACTCTTTGTTGATTGGAGCCTGGTTAGACCACAACAGTCAAAGTAATTACTTGGACAGCTCCTAGCTTGACATCACTTAGCGTCGACTGAGCGAACTGCCCCATCAAACGCCGAAAACCATCGCAAAGTTCGAGCCTGTCGTTTATCTCAGAGAGAAGCTATTCAGCTCTAGGTGACTTCCCACTCATTTATGAAAGGTGTAGTGCAATGGCTGGAAGCTGCACTCGTTCACCCTTAAGGCTAGACGACTGATGAAAAACTAATCTAAAAACATAAGTATTCTTCAGTAAAGATGGTCCGGCACCCGTAGGTTGCCCATGATCGCTCAAGCTTGGCGGACACTCGGATTTCTCTACAGTTAGAAATGGCAATGATATGGCATTCTCTAGAGAACTTGCACGTTCGTCAATCCCCTTTTTGGGCTTCCCTTCATACCTCTTCCCCGCCCTCATTCGACTTCCATTCAGAATCGCAATGGCCCTATGAGTGCGTATGTGTCCTATACAAAGATAGCAGGGCCAGCCAACGTACAAATCAGTGCTTTCATTCTCCCAGGGCATTGTACCAATCAACAAACCGTGTGGGTATGGAAGGTTTAGTTGGCCTGGACGATTATCGATCCAGGATTCGGGAAAGCTTTGGTGATAGGTAGCGCCCCTTCTGTTACTAAACCGCCTTTGCCTGATTTGCCTCACTATCAATAAGAATTGTTCAGGTAATCCGCGGCATGGAAATCGGTATGGAAGGGATGTGTGAAGGGGAACGAAGAAAACTTGTGATCCCGCCGGAGCTCGGTAAGATTTTTCCGTTTCGGTCAATATTATTAGTCAGTGGTGGGTCCATACTTTCGTTTTTGAGCTCTGGAAGTTATTGGGTCGTGTAAGTGACTGATACTGGCCTAGCACGAAGGCTGGCAGTGTCAGTTCTGAGATTCCACTTTGTTAGGTCACATGCTTCTGAATTTTTCAGGATACGGTGAGAAGGGTCGACCACCGCGTATACCTGGAAATGCACCTCTTCATTTCGATGTAGTCCTAGAGAAAATCATCAGAGCCGAGAAGACCGAACTTTGAATGGTGTTGATTTAGAAACAGGTTATATATGTCTGTGATAAAACATTTTTTTTTGTGAAATTGATTAAATATTTTACATGAGATTGTGGTATGCATATTAGTTCCAAGTCCTGCTCGCTACCACGAATCGTTCGTGAAGGACTATGAAAAGAATCGGGGGACATGTCCATTTTCTTCTCCATAGCATTGATCTCGCGCCGGCTCAGGATCCTCCATTGTCAGTCCTCTCTACGTCCTTCCATCTACCTCCTGTCCTAGCAGCGGGCTTCAAGATGAGCATTCCTATGCCTCTTTCCATCAACACCTTTGAATGTTTCTAGTGCACGTGTTCCATCGACGGCATACTCTGTAGTTACTTTAGCTCCGGCAAGGTCTTTCTTGATTAGACCCCTCGCTCCTTTTTGGGGCACCTCGTGGCTGCTTCTCTTGAGTCTCGGATTCATTGCCTCCCATGTAGGATGCTTAGATGGTCTTCTAAGTACGTGTCCGTACCTGCTCTCTCATCTTCAAGTGGACAGGGATTGTCCGCATGGCCGCCCTAATGTCTTCCTTTCTGGCCTGGTGAAGTCGCGTCCAACCTCGGCCTATCTGAGCATACTCATTTCAGTTTGGTGAAGCTGCCTTTCACGATTTTCATTTACGCGCCAACACTATTTTGTTGTTTTTCTCACCATAAGAGCTCCTACAGCCGTTACCCCAAGACATGTTCTCCCTCAGCACAAAGCGCCGACCTTTGCAAAGTCTAGCAACCGCCTGGTAGGCGAGGAACAAAGTGAAGTTTGTTTTATTTGCGCATGCGTCAACAGGACAGAAAATTTCGTCGGCATGCCATACCATTCTGTTAAACGCTTCCTAGCAGTACTGAACATTGATTTTTCCTCTGTTGGTAGAGCCATTTCAGGAGTAAAAAGCAAAATGATACTAAACAGTAAACGGTATGGAAGGGATAGATTCTATGTGAATGTCTGGTAAACATTTGTTATGGGTCCATGATAGCGATCTGGAAAAATGTAATCAACTTCATGAGGAAAGCAACCCGGACTATGGGTGGGGGAAAGCATACATCTGGCCTCCCATTGTTGTTTATAAGTCGTTTTGGCTGCGAATGATGGTGTGAATGGGCCACTCAGAGGTTTATGGGAGAGCCACTGCGCTCCTTAGCTCACAAGATAAAGGTAAAGTGCCTAGTGTTAGTTTCATTTTCAGGAATGGTAAACGCAGAGGGACCCTCCTTCTAAGTGGGCCATCCTCGAAACCCACCTACCTCGAAGCTCAGCTTTTAAAAACATTTGCTTCTAGTGAAAATGAACATGCTCTATCTGATAGGGCTAGGCTTTACAAAAGAAGCAGTAAAGGGTAAAACATAAAGCATCCCTGAAACTGCTTCCAGCCTGGCAGGTAGACTTAGTATCACTCATAGCGCAGGGGCTGGAGTCTCCTCGCGCCTGCTTCAGGGTCCACCAAATCGAATTCTTTTGAGGCACGGGACTGAGTCCCGTCCGTGGCCTAAGTTTTCTCCACAATTTGCCAACCATGTGAGACAATCGGATCTGCTTCGAAATAACAACAGTTAACAAAACCTGAGCTCAAAACTTCTGAGATCTACCTATGCTCCCTTAGATTAGGGTACTAGTGAATGTACAACTAAATAGCAAACTTGTTGAGCCTATTGCTCGAGCATGACAATATGAAAGGGCATTCGAATGAAAGTTACCCCGACAAAAATGCTTTACCGAGTTCGTGTCCATGGCATATCCCCGTAGGCTGGTCATGGTTTGCCGATTGATGCCGTAACAACAAATACCGTAGAAATGGTTTATTCCAAATGTAAATACGATACACACATACTAAATAACAAAAAATAAATCAAAAGCGGAATCATTCATTCATCAAAACCTAGAAGCTACTTGACTGATCACCCATTTAAATGCTTATGCAGTTTCCTACTTGAGTAAATCTTTGGCATTTCATTTCATAAACAAAATCTACATCTCATCATCAGTTTTTATAAACTCTAATCAATTATCAAAACAATCGAAAAAATATGATAAATCGATCGATTGGGACCAGGTAAGTAGTTGNGATCACCCATTTAAATGCTTATGCAGTTTCCTACTTGAGTAAATCTTTGGCATTTCATTTCATAAACATATTCTACATCTCATCATCAGTTTTTATAAACTCTAATCAAATATCAAAACAATCGAAAAAATCAGATAAATCGATCGATTGGGACCAGGTAAGTAGTTGCACTTACTATACACTTTCTAGGCTAGTCTACATAACAATCAATCTGTTCCCTCTTTTTTTCTGGAAGTACGGAATGATGTAGAGGGATGGGATGAAACCCTTCGATCGATACGTAGAATTTCTACTTGGAGCTGAAATAGTAATTTCGAGAATGTCCTCGCCAGGCTTTTCCATTTTTTGCTTGAAACTAACTCTATCGAAGAACTTACAGCTATACAATCGTAATGATAGTGAAAATGCCAAAGCTCACTCAACGTGTGTAGGTGTTCTCTGACGTTGGCGAGGACCCATTCCGTACTGAAATTCAGTGGTCAGTCATACATTGAGATTTAGAATGGTAGCCGTTTATGTTAAGGCATGAATCATGTAGGTTTTTGAAATCCTTAAAAGCCTGTTTTTCATAAAAAAAAATAAACTTTTTGGAAATTTTCATTTTCAATATCAACCTGGGAGCCCAACTGGCACCCTAAAAACCGCGAAATGAGGTGTCTATTTGGAGAAGCTCCGCCTCTACCTTCAGAGACCCTTCTTACTCTTAGTGAAGCGCGAAGGTACCAATTTTTTGAGTCTTTGAGGTCTCTGGATCTCGGAGTTGAGAGCTTAGGGAGTGCTTAGCTGTGGAAGTCTTTAAAATAAGCCGGAAAGAAGCTAAAAAACCTAAAAAATAGATCAAAGGGATAAGCACTGAATAAAAATCAGTAAGTTTATCCCAGATTTAAAATCAATAAATTGATACCAGATTTGATGAGGGAAACTTCATACCATGATTAAAGAAATCCAACATAACATACAAAGCATACTTTTGTTACGCGTTGTATACTTCCAATCCAATGGCTTCCCCTATATGATGAATAGCATGATTCTGAATAAACCCCGTGCGAAGCGGTTTCGCTACTATTGTAGGGTTCTGATATTAGGTGAGCAGATCTTAGGGAACCAAAGTGGTGAAGTTTACCCCTACTACTAACCCAGATCGAAGTCGCGCTTTCCTCGAAGTTGCTCTTACCCACAGCGACATACCGGGGGGAGGGGATCGTGCAATGAGAAATTTTCATCGGAAAGGGGGACGTGGTGTCAAATATGTTCATAACCATATGTGACAGCCAAAATCGTTTTGATAGTTTGTTTGCTTTTGAATACTGTAATAGTGGAAAAAGTAAAAAATAATTCAGCCGGAGATGGCAAACCTTAGCGAACACTGTTGAATCGTCGTCTTTACTAACACAACACCATAGAATACATGTAACCGAAATAATAAAGACAATCGAGAAGAAGCTCAACCAGACCGCTATCACACCGAAATAGTCAATGGCATTGAGCTGTTGTTTGAGGTCGACCATGGCTGAAAATCGGTGAAGCCTCGTGGTGAGCTACAGTAGTTTTCAAATTCTGATCGACGACATGAGGAAAGAAATGCTTTCCATTAACGGACTGCTATATATATGCTATCAGATGTTCGAATAAACAAAAAAAAATTGTTGGTCTGGAATGAACTAATTAATTAAGTATTAACTAAGCAATTTTGTTGATATGCACATTTCGTCAATAACAGACGACAGCTACCAGCGACAAGTGAATGACAGATTTACAGCCAGCCGCTGCTTAAAAAACAGCGAAAACCATATGGACACCCATGTAGAAAGAGCTATAGTCATGTGACAAGAAATAGCGGATGAAGGCAGGTAGAAATATGAGGCGCAACTACCGCGCACAACATCCAAAGATCTGATCCCAAATCCGACTGGGACTTTCGAGACCAGTGCGGTCTATACATCATCTGGCTCTCTTTTTTCGTTTTTTTTTTGCGTAGTGAAATACATTTATATGGAAATAATGAGTTTTCCGACCCAATCAGGTAAACAAAATGCCACCTTTGCTGTCTCTTTGACAATGACGGTATCCGGCAGTTGTTCCTGATTACTGAGCATAGCTCGGTACTCCTATAAAACACGGGCATCTTGAAAACCTATTTCTCTAGCTAGTCCTTGAGTCAGCTTCAGTAGACCTGATAGCCTTGGCCGTTCCGTTCAATGCTCATTGAAAGCTTCAAATTGTCTGTTAGTCCAGATGAGGAAGGTTGCTCAGATAGGCGACCGGCCCAATGGCATACTGTTTGGATGTACTGAGAGACACATTCGATTTGCTGAATGGAGACCGAGTAATTAGCTCTTCTATGTTGCAATTTGGTAGGTGTCTTCAGATTTTTTGTGGAGTACGTGAAGACGAAGAGTAGGCAAAAAAGGAACTCTGGAAAGCCCTTTATTCCTCGAGGTAGACGAACCCACAAAAATGGAACGAAATGGAATCTCAGTTTTGACAGCTGATTCCAGGGAAAGTACCAGCAGTGAGGTGAGCACAGGCACATAGATGACTAACCATTAGCGAAAAGGTCGAAGGCATTCAGTAGTTGAATCATCTGCTCCGAGACACCATTCAAAATGATTCGAAGGCGCTATGAATCCTTGATGGGCAGTTCTATTGTCATATCGCTAAGGTCCTTTACCATCCGCACAGTAAGTCATCTCTCCTGCCAGGTGGGAAGCTTTTTATTCCAAAATTCATTAGTAATGGAGCCCATTAAAAAGTACATTAGTCATTGACCAACAATAAGGCTACAGTGAAAAAGCGGTGTAATCGAGCAAAGTAATAGGCAGTAAATTAATGGAATCACTTGAAGTCCATGAGCACATGCAGGGAGCAAAGACCGAGAGGTTCACTAGCTCTACTGCTTTTTAAAATACCTTCCAATTTTAAGGTAGTCCCTAAGGAAGCATGAGGAAAGTGGAGAGACCCTTAGGAACTTGCAGGAGTTGTTGACAAAAATAGGCACGGTACTGTCAAGTAGCCGAAAAGAAACGATGGGAATCTGACGTCGAAGCTACCCTTAGAGCCTACAAAACACCCTCAAGTGTTATGAGAGCTTAAATAGCCCGTGTGGGAGAAAAAGTGTTACCCTTGCTCTTCGCTCGATGAAAGTGCCGGTATAGGGTAGGCAAGGGTCAGATGGAAGGTCCGATTCTTCTCTAGCAGTTGCCAGAATAGCTAAGCTCCATATAAGCATTCTCATGAAAATGCGACTTTCCCAGGCGTTTTTCCCGGGCACTGGTGACAGCAAGGGCGATTTTCTGATAAATCGGGTAATTTGAAGAAAAAGAAGAAGAAGACTGCCATAATTGGCTTTCAGATAAACCTGTCCTTTTGTCCAGATAGGACCCGACTACTTAAAGGCCTGGGCAACCATTATAGGTTCTGGGCCTGGGCAGGATGAAAGGTGCCCCGAGTACTATGTACATTCGCCAGGCACCGCCCCATCGCGTTGGCTTATAACCACTCGGCAATCTCCAAAAACCAATTTTGCTCCGAAAGTCATGAACTCCATGGACGATGTCAACAACGGCTAGCAGGACCCTATTGTCAGAAAAAAATCCGTCAAACTGAGCTTGGCTGACAGAGCCTGGGAGAATTGAAGAGGCTCATATGAAAATTTGAAGCTTGTGAATATTCTCACAATGAAAAATAATGGGGATCGAAAAATGGGAATCATTTATAGGGTGATCAAATGTAACGAAGGTCGACAAACTGTAAAAGGCTTTCGTTTACTCTGATCCGTTCAGCTCAATGAAATTTTCACTCTATGGAAGTCATTTTTAAAATAAAATTGAGCCTCAAATGAAAAATTTACTGCAAAAATTCGATCTGATTCACAATTCAACAAATTTTTGCTGAAAAAAGTGTGGAACTTCAATTAGCAGGCAGAACTTAAAGGTCAAATCAATAGGTAATGCTAGATATAATTAATGTAAGTGCTAGTTTTCAAAAGCTACCGTATGCAGTGATATAAATAAACGAGCAAACAAATCAATGAACTCATAAATTCAAAATTTTCGAGTAAGATGACGGTCCCCAGAGAAAATTTCCGAGCCTCTCTTCTGCCTACTGACGACAGCTAGGGAGGAATGCGGTTAATGAACTGGGAACGAACTTCGATGAAACAAAGATGAAGCTCAGATGTTTGCAGAGGACTACGAAGCGCCGAGCCAGTGAACAAACACAGAGTGAGGCCGAGTTCCGGAAATCGATAAAAGCTGCCGGGGAGGGCCGGCGCCGTTGGGGGCTTTCGAGGTTCGGCAGCAGAGCAAAGCTGCCGCCTGCTTACAACTACTTCTAGCAGCATTATCATATCAGAAAGGACCTTTTTTGGTTGGAGAGTTATCTAAAGAAAATCGGCACTCGACGCCTTAAAGCTGAAGCGCTACTACTGTATTGGTTTTAAGGAGATATTACCATGAAAGCCGATAAGAAGATCAAAATTATTTCATTAATACGGATTCATCAAATTATTTTTCCTTTTGGGCCTCCATATCAGGCGAGTTGGCGTTTTAGGTGATTTAAGTGATTATATGATTTCAATAAAAACACACTTGTGCCAGCTAACGCCCAAGCTGGTGCTTTTACATTTGAAGGCACGGTTCAGGATAAACATGGTTCCCGAGACGTCTTCATTGTATGAATTCTATGCCCCGCCTTACTCAATACCTGCCGTTATAAGATCGAAAAACGTCCTGTATAACGCACAGCAAGGGGAAAGAGAATGTATTGTGTAAATGCTACACCCATGGTGGACGAGTTTCAACGGCGTTTAGAAGCTGCGCTATCTCGAGGAACTCCCATGTAGGAAG